TATTTCTTCCACCCTTGGACCCACGCACCAGGGAAGAGTTAGCAGAAGAGTCCAGCCAAAGCCTTGACTGACACTTTTTGTCTGAAAAGAATCAGGGCAGGAAGCAAATACAGGAAAACACTCTTTAATGGAAGCCCGTAGCTTCAGTCCATGGTGTCTTGTGATGTGCCAACCTTCAGGCTCTCTGGGATGGTGACTTGTGCTGCTCTTCTTGGAAGCTGGGCTACACGTGCACCCTTTCAATCCACATCAACGGTTGTAAAACAAATGGAATGTTATGTGACACAAAGATGAATATGAAACCTTCCATCATCTGATCTTTTAGGCTAGGGGACTTTAAATGGCTCTGTAACTCACAATTTCTTCCTAGCGATGCTGTAGTTGTGTCTGAAGCAGCAGTTTAGCACCGTCCTTTCAGCTCCCATTTCTCCCCTCTCATATGACTGTTTGCCTTCTTAAGAAGGTAGCTCCCTGATGTCTGTCATTTTCCTGATGTCACTGCCACACTCTCCAAATTGTGGTATCTCCCTACTCCTCAAATTTCTTAGCTTCTGAGTTGTGAGGGAATGCATTCATGCCCATCACTGTAACTAGGAAAGCTCAATTCACGAACTTATAATACGGCTCAATGTGTTTCACATTCCACCTCCTGCCATTTACAATGTGATGTGAATTCCTTTTCAGTGCTGCCTGTGAGGGCAGTGGTTGCTGTTTCTGGAGCAGACTTGCTTATTTTTTCACTCCAGAGAGTGAAGGCAGTAGTTAATCAGGGAGAAGGGAACTGTGGAGCTCATTGTCACAGAAGACTGTTATGGCTGTTTAACAAGTTTTCTAAAGGGGACGGGTCATTTTCATTAATAACAGGAGTATTTAAAGTTAAATTAAGGCTTATAAATTTAAGCTAGCTTCCATCTACCAAGAGCCAGGAAAAGACCTCTTGAGGACAAATTACCCTTATGAGTATTGGAAGTTTCTTCCTCAGGCTTTGAGATGAGTGAGTATCACAAGGTTGGGTTTGTCCTTTCACCAAGCACTAGCTGGGCTGCAGGTCTCCTCTTACTAACTAGCTTTGCTGCCCAATCTGGGACATGTCCTTCATGCACTGTCCACCTCAGACTCCAGTCTGGCTACACAGATAAACTTGACGCACAGGGTAAGCTCCTGAGCCCAGCAGAACAATCTCATCTGAATAGCGCCTGAAATGAGGGGACTCTCATCTTAGTCAGTATCCCTTTAGATGCTTTAACCACACTAAATTACGATAATAACATTCACCATCAGTGCCTGTAAATGACAGCAGCTTTCTCAGATGACTGGCAAGAGATCTTTCCCTCCTTACATCAGTTGACTTAGCTGCAGTCCTCCACTGCCGTGCCCCGCAGCCTCCATGCTCTACATTAACCCTGCTGTTTCTCCCAGTATGAACCCGACACAGTTATTTCTCAAGCTTTTCCTGCCCTTAGCTATGAATTGCATTACTGCCACTGTGATTTCTGTGCTAGTAGTAGTTAGGAGACAGAAACAAACAGAAACCATGTGCTCTGGGCTCTGTACAAACAAAAACAAACTCTGAGTCTCCAGTTGGGACTCTTACTAAAAGAATAGGAAAAGGAAAAAGAAGAAAAGGGAAAAGGTTAAAACCATTCTGTGCCTGGGGTTACATCACTGCCTGAGCCACTGCGAAACTCTGCGGCACTTTCAGACACATGTTTCTCAGCCTGACTATACTGGTGTTTCCAGTAAAACCCTCACTGCCATTAACACCAGCAGAGTAGTGGCCCAGACATCACAAAAGCAAATCCTGCCCCTCACCTGTTTGTGCTGCTTTGCCAAGGCAGCAATGTGGTGGGGAATGTGACTGGGGAGAGACCGCAGCCAGAAAAGCAAAGCGCCTGCTCTACAGCCTCTTCTTCATTGCTCTGTTAGCCCCAAAGACATGAAGCTGGTGAAAGCATCTACTTACCATCCGTGCCACACACAGAGTGTCTCAGAAAGGGAGCGGGGCCACGATACGATGTTGCTGGTACCCAAAGTATGGCTTTTGCTACAGGTAGTGGGACATGGGAGCCAACTGTCCCTGTTTCATGTCCAAAGCATTATTTGACAAGATTTCAGGCTTCATTTTGGTAAATTCTAGCTGATGGACACATTTATACTTTACTAAATTTTACAACAGGAACACATCTTCCCTCAGCACATGTGGCTTTTTGAAAACAAGGAGAATTTTGATCATAATTGTCTGTAGAGCCTGGGAGTTCCCATCACAGAGCAGACCCGCTTGCTCTGGATCCTGAACAGACATCACTAGAAGTTTGCCTCTGTCCCAAGCGTCTTGCAATCCAAACAAAAGCCCAGGGCTAGATGCAGTCTGATGGGCAAAGAATGCAAAACAGTATGCACCGAGAAATAGTAAGGAGGGCAAAGACACAGAAGAGCATGTGGTTCTGATGACAAGGATTCTACTGGAGGGAGAATCTCTTTTTATGAACTGAACCAAAATTCAACTATTTGTCTTATCCTATTTGCCTCTGCGGCCAGTCCGATGTTCTGCTGTAAGTCTTGTGGGAATAAGGTTTCTTCCAGCCAGATTTAGTGATGTTCCAGTATATGGGATGATCAAACTACATTTAAATAGAGGCATGCAGAAAGGATTTTTTTTTTCCACTCGTTTGTCTTGTCTTTTTCAAGAAATACATTCAGGTGGCAAGTGTGTGGATCTGTTTTGTTGTTAGAGTTCTCAAAAGCAATTAATTTCATGCCAGTAACTTTACAGTTTGACCTGAATTTCCTCAGTTTCTAGTCCCCTGCCTCCCTCTCCCCCTAGAAGCAGTGTTTCAAACTCCTTCTTTAATCTGCTAATCCTTAACTTGAAGGGAGAGTGAATAAAACATTTAGATGAACAGCAGCCGCTGGACATTTATGTGCAGAACGATCAACGGAGAAGAAACCCTACTAGCATGTTTCAAAGCCTGTCCAGAGCCAGATGGGTTCCTGGGGTTCAGCATGAAAGCAGTAGGTGTTGGTAACCTGGTTTCTTTGAAAGTCTAACTGTGAACCTTGGCCTTTTGTTAGAATTGAAATTTTCAAAAAGTGAGACATGTCTCTGACGTCCCCTGGTAGCACAGGTTACACTGACAGCAGCGCTTTTGGGTTTTGTGAACGGGTCTGAGCAGCCGGAGAATTTGCTTTCCAAATTGACTCCAGTCATGAGTCACTGAGCCTCTCAAAACCAAATACCTGGAGCCTGAGTTGTTAAACTCAGAAGCTATTTTAACATTGACTTAGGGTTATATCTCTGAGTGTATTTCTGTAAGTTGCAGTATGTCATATGTGGGAGGTCTTCTATTTGGTTTTTTTGCTGGATTGCTGTGAAATCTTTCAGAGATTTGTGAAGCTGAAGGACATAACAAAATTGCTTCTGTCCCTATGACTGACTAATCAAGTCCTAGAAAAAGTGCAATAAGTGTTTTATGATAGCAAAATACTGTTTGTTATTAAGAAGACTGGCTTGTTTATCATGCAAAAGACCTGAGGAAACAGCAGAGTTGGTTATTGGATTGTGCCTTCTCTTTTTGCTGTCGCTGGGATGAGCTGGAGTCAGTTACAGTTGAGCAGGTTTGAGAACACCACTTTCTGTGTTTGTCCCACGCTATTTGACAGCTTCCTTTGCAAGCAGGGAGACCGATACGGCAAATGCAGAATCCTAACCCAGGAAATGCACTGCCTGTTTGAGCTGGGTGGAAGTGATTTTAATAACTGGAGTGTTTTGCATTTAGCTGAGAAAATATTTAATCAAAGACTCCGTAACTGCAAAACTGCAACTTGGCACTTGCCTTCCTTTACCATTTCACAAAGAATGAGAAGACAAATGATGTCATCTTAGATGACTGAATCTGTGATGAGTAACTTTCTGTCTAGCTTCAGTGATACTTTGGTTGCTGGCATCAGCATCACACACTGGCTGCCTCCTGGAGCCATTTTCAGCAGCAAGCACTATTTAAGACGTCCACTCTTTTGTTTTATGACACTGTGCCTCAACTTATTGTAGCTCATATTTCACATTGTGCTTACATGTTACATTGCATCTGAATAGGGGCTGGCAAAGGACTAAAAGCAGACACAAATATTTTCTGGTGAAGGAGAATGTGCAGCTCTAGCTTGTTTAAGAAAGCTTGGTACAGCCAACTAAGCCCAGGACCGAAAACCAGGCTGTCCATGAAAACCATGCTTTCCTATTGCATTAATGGCTCTGAAAACTTTGAACTTCACACAGGCGAGCCTGGTCAAGAGACTAACCAAATGTAAACTATTCCACTTTTGCCACTCCAGCACAAATCTCCTTCTGTGAACAATGCAACGGACTCCAGCGCAGACTGGTTGTTCAGGAGCTTATCAATTCTAGTTGACATTATAATAGAGTTGATGGGATGGAGTGGAGGGGAGCAAAAATGATAGCCAAGGATGAAATGTCCATTTGAAGATTTGAGTCTTTCCAGTAAATCTGATTTCACTTGCTTGAATAGATTCTTGTCAAAGGGAGCTCCTCATGTTAGCAAGACAAATTGTTGTACCTGGCTTTGCAAAAGTTATGCTGTGGTTTCTGGAAAAAAAGGTATATAGCAAGGAAAAGCAGCACAGATTTTGTCATCTTCTGTTACTGTTTTATATTTATGTCATTTATTTGTGTTGTGACTCCACTGCAAAATCCAAGTTTTGGCTTTGGCACTGGCCGTGCAATTTGCCCTGAGAGCCAGAGAACGAGACCAGCCCCAGATATGCTTGCTGCTAAAGGTATAAGCTCAGACAGCTTCATAGACTGTTATTGCTGACCTGTTGGACAGACAAACCTCCTGTCTCATAGTGTAAGAGAGGTAATGAAGGTGGATAAACCATGAGGAATTTTGCAAGTGAACAGTTAGCTTGTTTATTTCATATAGTCATTAATGCATATGTGTATATATTCACTATATATGATGATTTAAATGTATTTTCCCGTTTAGGAGTATCAGATGCCTGCGGAATATTATCCACTGGAACTTGATCACTACATTCATCCTGAGGAATGTGATGTGGTTTCTGCTTCAAATGATAGATCACAACATACATGAAAGCAATGAAGTAAGTGCTTGGAGGTGGCATGTCTCTGCCATGTAGGTTGGGGGCAGGCAGGGATGATGAATTTGTTCAAGTGAAATATTACAAGGGACACCTATCCACATGCTCAGACTGACTTTCATATAATTTCAAAAAGATGAAGAACATGAGCTTAGATTTGCTAAATTTTAATGTATTTCCTAATTACTGAATCTCAAAGGGTTTTTTTAAAGTAAAAATCGTGCCCAAAATCTTCTCTCTTATCTTCATTGACCATAGAAACTCTCCAAATTTATATACTGTGAGAGACAGGTGGTTCTTGAAGAGTTTTGTCAGAGCATCTTGCAGTGATGTGCACCTGTGTCGGGAA